ATTGTACTAATGGTAGGAAAAACTGCAGTTGTATAGAAATGGATAGAGAAAATAAACCCAGATTTCATTCAGTCATCTTCACATTATACTCCACAACTTATTTCACTAAAAATAGTATACTTGCTTGAGTATTTGTCATTCCACTGCAAGATAGAAATGTTAATCCATTCAGTAGAAAACTGCATGTCATTTAATTACCATTAGGCTTTTTGCCCACATTTAATTATCTAAACTTACATTTAAATACTGCTTATCAAAGCAAATCCTTTAAGCCTTCCATTGAGTAGACCCTGTGTGTGAGTGGCTACACTCACAGCTATGTGCACAAACATGGATGTAAGACTCATTGCATGCACTTTAAGTTTGAAGCTTTTTGCCATGTCATTGCCTGGACTGCATAACAGCCTGAAGTATGAAACCAAGTTATAAAGGATTTGATGAATACAGTTTAAGTGCCAGAATTTTCTTTTGCTCATGTTTGCAAAGCTGGGAAGTCTAACACAATTTGATGACGCAGACCCACCGTGCCAAGTTGCCTTTATTTGGGGATATCAATAGTTGGCAGGAATTCTTCAAGTAGCCAGTTATTACAGCCCTCAGCTTCTGTGGTGGCAAATGCTGCTGGGAGAGTGTTTGACAAAGAGCATTTTTGTTATTAACATTTACAATGAAAAGTATCCCATCCCACACATTTCTTAATCACTACCTTACCTTCCTTGTGTAAATTTAATAAATTACTTATATTTTCATGGAAATCTTCCAGTTTTATAAAATTAGGTCCCATAGGGAGGTGACTTTCATTTGTTTGGTAACTATGTAAGAGCTAGGGTATAAATAAACTTACAGATATATTGCAACTGCTCAAGCATTGCTAATGAAGTGTTAGCATAGGGAACTGTTCACATATCGTAGCTGACCAAAGACGTTCACTGTTAAATTAGTGAGTGTTCACAATGAACACAGAAATGCCTAACAACCAAACCCAAGAAATTCCACAAGCCTTCACCAGAAATTAACATATGTGGGGAAAAAAAGCCTAACTGAAATAAAGATATGCTTAGCGTTGAAAGTGAAGCATTCTCTTCTTCATACTGGCAGGATATGCAGAGCAAACCAAAAGCTGGATGTTCTGGGGCTTGGAAATAATGGTGGAATTCTTTTACTCAAGACCTCAGGGACTACATTCAGTCATCCAGAATATGAGAGATTCAGACATGATTTTTTTTTTTCCAGTCCCCAGTATGAAGTAGATCCATCAAACCTAAATTACAGGAAAGTGTTCCATACATTAGGTTATAAAAGGAAATTACCCCCCTCCATATCAACTCTTTTACCTTTTTGATCTCAACAAAACTAGTGCAACATATTTTCAGGAGACAAAGCATCTCAGCAAAGAGACTGGCAATCTGAAACACAGCTGCCACATTATACAGTACTCCCTGAAGAGATTATGTCTAATGAAGATTCTGGAAGATAATATTACAGGTCATTTCAATCAAGACAGTTGGGACTAGAGATAAAAATTATGTTATGTCAATAGCTGACACTGTTATATTGCAGGCTGGAAAGAAATAATGAAATATATTATTTAACAAACAATAGGTCTTAGATGTACTAGGTTTGATAATGCCAAGAAACACTTGATCAGAAAACCACAAAAGCTGAGGAATAATCTATGCCTCAAGACAGTTATTCATAACAGAACCTTTTTTCCCCTGTTTTCATCTGATAATTTGTATGCCTCATTTACTTTACAACTGACATTTTAATACACAATTATCCCCCCTCACATATATAAGAAAACATTTATTTTTCACAATACAAAATACTTCAAAGTATAAATAAGCAGTATAAGCAGATGTCTGAATTAGTGTCTTCTCACTAGTTCTGTACACTGACAATCTGTTCTTCAATAACATTTTTTCAGCAGGGAAGTTTACATAGAAGTGCTCTCACTTTCAAATCCCACTGCACATCAGCACAAGGGGTTAGACCTTAAAGTGCACTTTACATTATGTTTTAAATCTCAAAATGGGGCTCTTTGCCAATGAAATACTTGTACAAGAGGGGAAAAAAAAACATATCCACATTTCTGCATTTCAGGAGTCAATCTTCTGACATGTATTTTGCAACATATTTTTTGATACATAAGAGGTAAGATTTGATGACAAGATGGAAGAGGACTATTAGAAAGAAAGTGTTTACTTGCATCTAACAAATAATTATTAAATTCTTAATAAGAATTCTACAGATTGCCCAAATTGTGGTTTTCTTATAAAAGGTTCTGAATTCAAAAGAAAAGCAAGATTTTTCAGCACAAAATCCCATTAGAATTTTGCTCTGTACCATACAAGAAATAAAGGTAAAAACCTTCTATCCACTGCTACAAGACAGTGTGACCCTTCTTGGCACAGCTGACGAGCTCAAGGTACCTTCTTGAAGTCTTGTTTGCAACAAAGGTCGCAGCTACCTTGGACACAATAGAGCTATTCTCCAAAAAGAGGAGCTAAAACTACAGGAAATGATTCTCTACAAATGGTTTGGGTGTTTATTATTATCCAGCCACTACATCACTTAATGACAGTCACAAAACAAGACATGAAAAACATATTCTACAAACAACACATCCAGTCAGCATTAGCAGTAAATCACCACTTGAGAAAAACTATTCCTTAGTACCAAACTACTTCTCAAGCAATAGTCACATGCCATATTACACCAGTAAGCATGTTACCCTCTCAGCAGTGTTTAAAAGGAGGCACAACTCAGCTTTTTTTGGATGTCAGCTGTACTCTGCATTACTGTTCTGTTCTCTGCATTAATCACCTTAATAACATCAGGAAATACTGGTAATTTGAATATTTTAAAAAAAAAGTAGATAAAAGTGTTATTACTGAATGTACATGATAAAGAGTAAAAAAGATTATATCCTAAACATTGCCCATCAGTAATGACCATTTTTGGCCTTGTGAAGGCCACTAACAAAACTAATGTCTTCTGGCTGAAAAGACAGATCTGCAAAATGTACTTCAAATGTGATGTAGGTGGAATTTAGGTAGCAAAATTCAAAACTGTGCTTGGTAATCACCATATCCTGGAGGAGCCTATTCCCTCACTGCATTCATTCCCTGCCAGCCAAGGAAGTCCTGGCAGCAGCCACATGTAGGCATTGCCTATGGATGTCTGTGAAGTGGCTCTTTTCCATATCCAGAGAAACCCCAAAGGACAGCTTCTCCACACCTCACATGCAGGGGAAAAAAAGCACTGCCTATTAAAGCACCCTTTTTAAGTAGTGATTATATAAATTTGAGAAGAGGCACATTTCTCAAATTAACACCCTCTAAGGATATCAGGTAGCTTCTGTCTATTCTCTCAAAAACTGATGGGAAACATCTATCCATGAGGCACTCCAAGGTACTGGACCTACCTGTACCACAAGAGCAGTCATTTAAGGCCCTGATTTGACATAACTGGAGATAATTTCCTGTGTTTAGTGCTACCCTTTTTCTATAGAGCAACTTGATTAGGCTGTAGGCTTTCCTTAGGGCCACTGTGAGATGATGAGAGGCAATCTCCACACTGGGAATGTGCTGGACCAAGAGCTTATACTCCTGAAGTAGAGACAGCAGCACTCCACAGACTTGTGGAATTTTGTTGGAAGAGAGGCTTTGAAACACTTATGCAATCTATCCTTTCACAGCTGCACAACCATTCTGAATGAGTAAATGGCAAAGGAACTTCAGAATTGCCATATTAGTTCAAAGCTGAAGTCAACTAGTGAGAACCAATCTCTGAACTAACCATCATAAGGTTTTTTCTTCTGAAAGGATTCATTAAACAGGTGCGTTCATGTATTTTGAGATGAGGTTTAAGTCCAGTGTGCCATGTTATAGCTACATGCATACCGTGAATTAGTGATCCACAAAGACACTTAGGATTAGCAATAACAGCAGTGAATTCTGAAAACTCTGGTTGTTCTTAGCTGTTCTTATTCAAACACTGTGAGTGTTCCCAGTTTCATTGCTTTTTTCCTTTCCTATACCCAGGTAGTTGGCAAGAGGCTGATAAGTTGCTCCAAGATAAAACAGCAAGTATTAGAGAGAATGATAATAGAAATTTCCCAGTTAAGCGACAAAATACAATTTGTACAAAACAAAGTACACATCTTCTGGTAATCATCTGAGATTTTAGGACTCATCTTGCATTGCTTAATACCCATTTTCCCCCTCTGTGGGATAGCTTCTCCTCAGAAGCATTAACAAGTGGAGTTAACATTAACAACATTAACAGGAGCCATGCTGACCACAAATAACCAGAAGGACACTGTCAACACTGAATATCAAGTGACCTGGATGTTAAAAAAACTGCCGTTTGTGGAACCTTTGTAATTTATTTTTATGTAATTTAGCTTTTATTGCATATGTTCTTATACTCTGCTTTAAATGATAAGTACCTACCAAAACCGACATAATCAAATTATGTGAGACTACATGACTGACAAAATGCAGTAATGGAGGGAGGACGGGTTCATGCACACACTTGCAAAGTGAGCTCTCTCAGTGGGAGCAAACGATTGCAGGAAGTAAAATTTCTGTAATTATATTAAAACTGACGGTATCTACTGGGTTTATGTACAACCGACGTCTCTCGCCCCACTCTCCACAGCTGAACCCAAGCCACCCTTCGCATCCCTTACAGCGGGGCAGGCACCACGGGCTGCGCAGAGGACGGACACAGGTGCCAGCTGGGCACGGCGGTGCCCGCGCTGCTCCTCCGCCTTTCCCAAACACAAACACCCCGCTCGTCCTCCGGAGAGGGGAAGGGAAGATGACAGGTGCCTGCCGCGGGCTCAGCCCCAGCCCCAGCCCCGCGCCGTGCCCCCCGCCGGGCACCACCGGTCCCGCCGCCGCCTCCCCCATTTCCCGCGGGAGGCAGCGCAGAGCTCCGAGCCCGCGGAGGGAGAGAGGGAGGGATGCCCGGCTCCGGCCGGCGGGACTTACACGGGGTAGAAGGCGTAGGGCGGCAGGGCGCTCTCCTCGCACGGCTCCGCATCCAGCAGCAGGTAGTCCTGGCTGTCGTTCCGCCGCGTCCCCGGCGCGGGGGAGCTGCTCTTCCGCGGGCCGTAGGGCTGTGCCTGGCTCATGTTGTCCCGCGGCCGAGGCGCTGCTCCCCCTGGCCAGCCGCCGCCGCCGCACGGGACCGCGGCTCGGGGGTCTCCTCGGAGCTCCGCGTCCCCCGGGCAGCGCAGCGGGGCCGCTCCCCTGCGCGCCCCGGCACCGAGGGGTCTCTGCCAGCCGCTGCCGCCCGCCGCGCCGCAGGCGAAGCGCAGCCCGGAGCGGGAGCAGGAAAGTTTGCGGCGCGGCAGCCGGCGCAGCTGTGCCCGGCCGGCGGGAAGGGGCGGGAGGTGGGAGGGCGGCGGGCTCCGCTCGCCTCCCCTGGGGCGCTCGGTGCCCCCTCCGCGCCGCCCCCGCCGGCGCCCGGCCGGCCCTGCCCAGAGCGGCGGTGGCCGCCGGTCCAGCAGCTCCTCGGCACAGCGGAGCTGGCCGTGACACCGCTCACCTGCGCCCGCACGGCGCAGCCCCCCGGGGAGCCCGGCCCCAGAGCGCTGCCCTGGAGAGGGGCCATGTCCCACTGACCGTGTCGGCGGGGACAGCGCGAACCTCCCGCCGCTCTCCTGCAGCACGGCCCGCGGTGGTCTACAGTGGATCCCGCCGAACCACCCTCCCTTGGGAATTCGGCAGGACCCGCCGCGCGACTGACAGTGGCTCCCGCGGATGGGGAGCAGGAACTGTTGTGGCTTGGCAATTCAGCCTGCGCTGTGCTGGTGCTCTGGTGTAAGTGGTCTAGGAAGAGCGTAAGTGAAAATTAATGCTAATCCAGCAAACGCAGAAAATCCGCAACTTTAAGTCTTCCCGAGAAATTGAAAAATTTCCCTGCAAATTCCACTTCCTTTTCAGCCTCTTTGCCTCTTTCTCTCATCTCTGAAACATCCTTTCACAAATGCCGTTCACTTGTTTCAGTGAAGAACCAGTTTTGAATCACCTCTAATAATTTCAGTTAAGTGCAGGGGCAAAATATCACATATCATAGTTTAAAAAACAAACAAAACAAAAACAAACAAACAAAAAACCAAACCAAATAGTTTTGCAGTAATAACCTGTAGCTAAACTGAGTCCACTCGTATTTCTCAATTCTGTTTCAGCGGTAGCACTTTGTTCGATGATATTGTACTTAGATACATTGTAATACTTGAAATATACTAATATAACTGCAGCTTTACTAGGAAAAAAATGTAAGGCACTGAAGAGATAACATATGACCTATAGGCATCTTTCACATTAAACATAATACTTGCTATTTCATAAGGGAATATTTAGAGTTAAATGTTGTAAATGTACAGTTAAAAAAATAGTGCATCTAAATAAAATCGCTCCCTCATTCCTGGCCATGTTCACATATTGAAATTCTTGCCAGTGTTTGTGTTGGAACAGCACACAGCCCTGTACTTTTTAGGCATGCACACCTTCCCCTGATTTGGTGATGTGTTGAGAAAACAACTGGGCTAACCCCAGTACAGTCATCTGCAAAGCAGGCTTACATTTCCTGTGCTCTCCACCAGCCCTTGCCAGACCATGGTTTTAACAAGCGCCTGAGCCACTTGAGACTCATTTCACCTACTGAACTGCAAGAGGGGGAGGTGTGTAAAGAGATCCACAGCTCATTTATGTGGTCTTTAGAGGAGGTTCAGAAATACCTGCAGTCAAATTTTTGAAATTTCTTTTGTCCTCCTAGTTATGGCTCTTAAAATTACTCTCTAATGGGTTTTAGAAATCTTCCTTTCTTTGCAAATAATTTTTTTTCTGTTAAAGAATATTTTGTTTTAAATAGGAGGTTTAGTACCAATGATACCATGTGTATTTTATAGTTCTCATGCCGATTCTTATTTCACATTACTATAAAAACAGATATTACAAAGTTATGTGCAGTCTTTGCATTTGAGAAATGTGTTGTTGATAATATCTCACATTTCTATGGTAAGAAAATTGTTTGCCAATAGCAGAATACTTTGTGAGGGGAGGAATTTTAATGTGTTCCACTGCTCTTGTGCATAACCATTTAATTTCACTTGTTCTACTCTGTTATGAAGTTACAGTGCTTCTTCACTTAGTGGTTTTTTGTATATTCCCAAAATATTTGAAGTTTGTTTTTTTGTTGTTTTTTTTTTAATTTCTCCCTTTCATTTCAACTAGTCTATTTGATATTAGACTGATGTTTCAAATCTTTTCTTCCAGCCACGTTTTTCTCCTCCTTTCCTCTGTTCTTTTGCTCCCCCTCTGGAATATTTGCTTCTTTCTTAAAGCTAATACCATCCTACTTTGCTGAGGGGTTATCAGACCCTTTCATTTCAGAGCCTTCATAGCCATTTTCTCTGTTTTATTCTGCTGCTTCCTTCAATCCTGTGCTTACTGTTTGAGTGCCCCTAGGATTATTTCCCATCTTCCCCATGATATTTGTGCATCTCTCTCAGCTTCCAGGTGACATTTCTCATTTCCTCAGTTGCTACCTTTCCTAGATCCCAAACCTTCCTTAGTCTTCATTCTTATTTCAGTTCTGGTATTCCAAGCGGTACTCTTACTTTTTCACAGGTCCCAAACCTTTCACAAATTCTGAAGTCACACTTATAAGTTGCAGTGATGACACAGCTGTGTGATTTTTCAGAAACATTGGGCAGATCAAGTCATAGGAACATAAAATGTTCAGCACCCTTGAAAGAGAAAAGGATGCTCAGCTAAAATTCTGAATCTTTTCAACCTGATTTATATTATTAAAAGTTCTCTTTCAACATACTGTAGCAACAGTCTAGTCTCCATTTTCTGTTTACAGGGTAAAAACACGCAGCACTGTGAGAGTGGGACATACTTCTACTAGAGGTCAGGTAAACACAGGTCTTCTGATGTCTGAGTCACAAGATGATGGGACCCCTGGCTGAAGGTGATGTGTCCTGTTGTACTTACAGTCCTTTTGATACATTTGTGTTGGAATGGTTCCAGGCCAGAGAAGTGAACTTGCATCTATTTCCTTTTTTGCGAAATAGTCTAGGGATGGTGATCCATTCTGTAACTATCTGAAGGCTAGTGAGGTTAAAGAGAATTACTTGTGATGCCAAGATGCATGGATGAAGAAGCAAGGAGTGGTCCTTTCCTTCTGTGAGAGACAAGAAAGGAGATTCTTATCAGAGAGTATTACTTTAACTATTCATTATCCTTCTTGCAGGTCTTTCCAACACCAAAAAGAAATTTATATATTACTCTGGCGTGCTAATGCCTTGGTATCTCTGTTGCAAAGATGAACATATGCTGGTTTTG